TAAAATTACGTTAACACATTTTTCAATTTGGGAGCAGGTTTATTTTCGGAGGTAGGTTGAAATTATTTTGATAAGCTGGAGTCGCATTACCTCGCTGGAACCACATATGATAAAAATCTTACTTCGACTTTTTCAATTAAGTAGATCCAATAGATTGATTCTCTTTGCGATGCAGGTTCGATACAATTTTTCAGATGCAGGAATACAACGACACAAGATGTGCAGATTTTGGTGTTTGTCTTGTCCAAGTGTRTCACAACGGTGAATGGGGAACGGTCTGTTATGACAACTGGGGCTCKTCTGATGCCAAGGTTGCGTGTCGACAACTTGGTTTTACCAAATATATAAATTACTGGAGTGGTGGACAAGGAGAGGGAACAGTTCTGCATACACGTTCGGAGTACATTATGGACAGAATATCCATAAGAAACTGTACTAAATTTGCAATAAAAATCAAATGCAATTTTATGACGTATTTARAACCATGTATATTTGTTAGTTCTTCATTACGGATATTCGTTGGCTTAGGTCAAAAGTTCATTATRAATACTGCTTTTGGCTGAGTTTTTTGACCCTAGGTTTTCTGACCGAAGCACAGCATGATGTAAAAGTCAACTTTAACCTACTTAAAACAGGATATCAATTAGAAAGACTTTAGGRAACCAAGCTTACGCATTCAGAAAATTCATTTTATATTATTATTTCATAAAAAAGCAATCGTTTCAGAAGTGTTTTGCTGAGTTATTTTCTTGCTAATTAAATCTTGCTTTCTAGTCTCACAAACATTTGTCTATTTTACTGCAAAAAAAAAACGTATTGTCTAGTCAGCAATCATTACATAACGGGAGAGGTGGTAGTTCACTAAATTCTATTTCGACCAGTGAGTTAGCCATATCCTGACTTTGACCARCCCAGAGGTTTTTTAAGGGTATCGATRATATTTGGAGGCTTAGACCTTTTAGTACGGATGTGGTATGTTGTTTTTCCCATGCGCAATAAGCACCGTTATGTTGGAAAGGAATGTGCCTTTTCTTTTACATTATGCGTACCTACGGCGAATTTAATTTTATTTGCGAAAACTTGCAGGAGTTCACTTATCTTCGACACACGGAATAAGTTYCATCTGAATTAACACCAGGGACATTATTCTACACCTTTTCATATATATTGACTGATTKAATTTGTTACGAATAGGTGCATCTGAGTCTAGCAGTTTCGAGGCTGTTGCCATCAAGATCTAGAAACAAAGTATTGGCCACTGGCTCGCAAAGAGTCTCAAAATGATGATAGTGGTAGTGGTAGTGGTAGTGG